CACCAGGGAGCCCGCATGGTATCCATCCCCAGGGGCACTCTTGCCCTGATAGCAAGCAGAGTCTCCCTGCTGGGGGACAGGAGTAAATGCCCCACAGCTGGGGCAGACCCTCTGCCTCCGGGATCCTCACCCATCTTCCTTTGTATCCTGAAGAGGAGATCGACCTGCTGGAAGCTGGTGAGTAACCCTTTCCCTGCTGAAACAGATCCACATGGCCCCTGCACTGGGCTAAATCCCTGGAGCTGGACAATGCTGGCCAATCAGCACCCCTCCTCCTCAGCAGGTCAATGTGTGCCAGAGACTCCCATGGGAGGAGCTCTTGTCCCTTGCCAAGTGCCTCCCTCCCTTGCTACTGGACCGTCCCCCTTTCACCGCTGGCCCCATCGATTTCCCCCTGCGGGTGGGTGGCATATGTTAGAGTGTTTTGTTTTGGACTAATGAATGTCCGTAATCATAGAAAGCCTCTACTCAGTGGTCCCCTCTGTTTTTATTCTGAACTTTAGCTGACCCTATCAATAAACTGAATTTTAGCTGGACTTTAGTGTGTTATTAAATAATGGATTGTGTGTCCCTTTGCCCTAACCCTTCACTCTAAGGGAAGTGTGTCCAGGTGGCCAGAAAGGAACCACTTGTAACTGTTATGGGGAAGGTGTTAAACACATACCAAAGAGTTTCAAAACAGTCTAATTTTTCCCTTCCTCTCTCAATTGCTTCGGTTTCAGTGTCTTGTTAAGAAATAGGCCTTGTCTACAAACAAACTTGCACCGGTTTAGTTAAATTGGTGCAAACCAGAGTTATTTCAGCTAAGCTTAAGCCTCTTTCTAAATGACTTAAGCTAAACTGTGTTAACACGTAGCTCAGACTCCCATGAAGCTTTGTGTGGTTATGCAGATCAGTTTTGTATTGGGTATAGAATGGAGGTATATATAGGGCATGATCCATTTTTGCAACTGCACAGGATGTTCCAGTGTTAGGGGAGATTTTGTTAGCCAAACAAATGCCTAAGCCACTGCCAGTAATTGAAATATTGATTACCACGCTTATTGCCACAAGCTGCTATAAGGCCTTTGGAGCAACCTTAGCATAGCTAGGCAAGCCGGAGAGAGGGGGTGAGTGACCACGAGAGTTGACCATGACCCTGCTGCCAATCTGTTGATCTTCTCTTTCCAGACTGGTGAAGAGTGCGGCTTTGAAAAACAGGAAGTCGAGCTATTTTTGATGTGGAAATACAGCTGAATAGCTAACGTCTGGAAAATTGCTTGCTTAACTTATTTATTCATTTATTTATTTACATGTTATTGATGTTATTGTAACACTTGCTAGCATAAAAAGGGTAAACCTGTCTGAGTGAGTCAGATTTGACCTTCTGGGCAACTCTTGAGATCCCCAGCGACAGGTAGATGGTTAGCCACCTGAACCTTGTGATTTGACCACTCGAAAGTACTCCAGGCTGGAGGTAACTATAGATTCAGGGTGCTCTAACCTTTTGCATATCTGTGTGTGCTTGAGATGTAATAAAATAATAATTTTGGATGAAAGCACTCTGGTTTGTGCCAATCTTTTAATCAGATGGATATGCTGTGTCCTCCTTTGATTTATTCCTGACACTGCCTTGCAAAGGGTACAGTTACTAAGAGCTTTGGGTTGAAAGAACCCTGGGTAACACCAGTTGCAAAGGGCAAAATGAAATGCAGTGTGAATGTCACCTTAGCGCTATTAATAGATTCAAATTAATTCCCCCCCTTTTTTCTTTTGTTCATGTTTTTTGTGGATTAGATTTATGTATATAAATCTGATTTTTTTAAGAAAAGGAAGAAAAACTGGGCATAGGTTCAGGAGAAGTGGAAGACATGGTAGAAACTGCCTCAGAATATTTTACGGTTTACTACTAGGATTATAAATGAACAAGGATACTACATAGATATGAAGTGTAGAAACCCTTAGCTACTGGGGAGCCCTACCTAGTCAGATGTTTGACTGTAGTGTATTTAACATGATAACACAGGTATCCCTGGACTTGCCAATTAAGTTTACTGAATTGTAATTTACAACTGTTTGATCCACCATCCAAAGCAACCTAGCTTTACCACGACATTCTCTCTTCCTGCTGCAGTATCTTCTTGTAATGCTTTAACAAGCAGCACAACCACCCCCTTAAGTGGCCCCAAACTTCTTACTACCACCTGATCACTTACCAAATCTCTCTCTTCCCCAGCCTTGCTCTTTCCAACAGATGTGTATTCCCCATTATAGTGACTAAGGTAAGGTGACCATATTTTGTAAACCAAATCTGGGACACACAGGAGTGGGAGCACAGCAAAATGGCCAAGACAGAAAATGTAAGTTGCGGAATGTAGCAAAGCAAAAACATTTTAGTAGCTTATATTTTAACAGTTGCACATATACAATACAAATACAAAACAAATATGAATATAATCACCATGGATGTGACGGCATACTAAAGAAGCACATTCAGACACTGGTTACAAATAATACAAAAACACTGTTCAGGGCATCCAAGGTCTATCACTTCCCTTTTTAAGCTCATCTTTACTTTGGTGTACACACTTTCTTTTCCATGTCTGTATAGGCCACCAAAGTTTATGTTTGTATTATCTACTAGAATGCTACAACCTTATTTTCAATTCCATGCTTATTCATAACATTTATTATCTCAGCTGCAATAAGTTTTGACGTCTCATCTTTAAGTTTGACAAAATCCACAAGTTTAGTTTGCACACACAAACTGCCTTCATAAGCCTTGAAATAAGACAGGAAGCAATTTTACATGTCTGTGATTTGATGCATCAACAGATAGTGACACCTATTCAACATCTTTCAGGTCGTCAACTTGTTCATCCTTTGCCCATGGAGCAAAAACGTTTGCAATCATTGCTTCAGACTTCGTCCACACACTGGAGTATTTTGGGTTGCTGAATTTTTTATTTCACTTGGAAATACATTCCATTGACCTGAAACTGTGATTATGTCTAATGGTATGATATGCATATATTCCTTCTTGCAAAGCAAGGTCATACTCACTCTGTGTTGGCTCAATTTTGCGAAAAAAATCAGTAACAGAATTTGAACTAGCACATACGTTAAGAGCAGCTTTATGTTTAGTGGTATCTTCATGTTCTTTTGTAGATGTGCTTCCTCCACTTGAAATGAAAAATACTGACTGGCATATTGAACATAATAAAGCTGTTTCTTTTCCAGTAGGTTGTAAATATGGAAAATCCTTTTGAAGCTTGTTGTTAAAACAGCATTTATGCTTTTTTGACAATGCCATTTTCACTTTACATCGAATCTCAAATCTTGCTTGTGTTCTACATCATATGCCATTCAGTCAGTGTAGTAGCTTTGGCAACTGCAATCGTGCTGTGCCATCTATGTTATAGCTAATAGTAAGAATAACAACAATAGAAATGTTCTGGATATTTCTCTCTAACGCATTTATGCATTGGACATATTAACTAACATGAGAAATAAAAAGTAAGGGTATTCAAGGATGAGTTTTCATGAACCGGGGACTCTTCTGGGTACATTGCCTGGAGATATAGTACTTCATCTGGGGACTGTCCCCGGAAAACAGGGACATATGGTCACCCTAGACTAAGGCCTCAAAATTACTAATTATTACTACTTAAGAATTGCCCAGGTCTCAAGGCTCATTAGGAAAGAAAGGACAGAGACCTCAAAGTCTAGTGGCAGTGTTTCTTCAGACTTTCTGTATAGTCTGAGGAAACTCAGAGTTCCTGCAGCCTTTCACAAGCTTGGAGTACAACCCAAAAAAGGTAAGATAGGAAGCTTGTTAACCACACCATTGATGTAGCTGAACTGAAGATAATTCCCCTTTTCCCTTCTCTAGTATACTGCGAATGAATACATCGAAATATAGATACTAAATATTAAGATATTATGATATTGCCAGATACAGTAATAGTAGGAAACTAGGGAAGAAGACTGAATAAAATATTTTGATTAAATGAAGTTATATGTAAAAGAGGAGTCAACTAATCGTGCTGCAGCTTTGGGCAAAATATTGTAAACTTTAATGACAGGGTTTATCTTCTGGCCAATCCTGTTAGGAAAAGAAGGGGGTTATGTTTTTATTTATTTCTTTTAGTTTAGTGATAAAGTGAAGAAGTAAGGCTAATATTTGCAAACACAAATGATTACGTTATCAAGTTAGTGAAATACACCCATGCTGGAAGAGGTACTAAATAAAAGAGAAACCAAATAAAATGTCTGTTATAAGGACACTTGGTCACAGAGTTGGATAATCAGAAATATAATTGTTTGATCAGTAATGTACAGATGCAGCTCCACCATACATACAAGCTTCCCACCATTATTGTTAAAATAAGGAGAACATAAATGGAAGATTTAAACAGCTGTTCTGGCTTGCAGGAGAACAGCAGTTCTTGACGTGACTTTGTGATTGTATAATGGACAGTTAAAACAAGTTTATAGGGGGTTAGACTAGATGACCCTTGTGGTCCCTTCTAACCCTATGATTCTATAATTCTACAAAAGAACATCAAAAAATATGGAGGGACTTTGTATAAACTCTGCAGGGCTAACTTAGCTGACATGAGCAGGCCCACCTTAAGAAAAGACAAGTCTGAACAAGTAACCGTTGAACAAGCAGGAACAAGTAATTGCTGAAACAACTAACTACTGTGAATATGTTTATAGTAAATAAGGGAGGCAGAAACTGAATAAACTAACTATTGTGGGGACGGGCGGCAGGTTTGTATCATTTTTGGTGGTGCTCAGAACGGGTCCAAGTTCCCCCACGCTCCCCGCTTGTAAGCCGATACATATTTTTTAAAATAATGTAAAAATGGACTGGAAACAGTAAGCGTTTAACAGTTTCCCTCTATTGCACAATATCACTATCATAAGAAAAATTTATTTAACTAAGAATATCAATTTTATTAATACTCTTTTGAATACAGAAACAACCAAGCACTCTTGGATCAATAACCCTCAAAAGCAAATACTTTCTAAAATTAAAACAAATGTAGCCCCTTCTTTTGCAATGTTCTTCAGGAAGCAGCAAACACTTTTCATCGTTGTTCGGTTCTTGAAATGAAGTCATCCAGGAGACTTGCAATGTCCAATTAAGAGGTAGAGTGATTTAGACATTCTTGGCCCATTGTCATTCACAAATAACTTTTCATCCTGCGAAGGCAACTGAAAGATCGCTCAGCGGTGCAGGTTGTAGTCAGAATTGTGTAGAATAATTTCAGGAGAATTGTAACTTCTGACAACATGTCACTCAAGCCTTCATTTTGTTTCAGAAATTGCTTCACTTTGCTCACCAAATTAAGCTGGCAATTTCTCAATCTGCAAATAACACTCAACATTTCTAAATGAAGAGAGAGCCTCTCCGCATTAATGTCACCATGGAAAGCTTCACTTATTGGGACAATGTCCTGTTTCGAGCCATTTGCTGTATCAGTTATATGCTTCTCCAATTGTACTGCAAATGTAAAGCTTTCTGTTGAAAACCTCTGTTCAATGGCAACTTTGCAAGCATCAATGATCCCGACATATATTTGATGAAAATATTCTTTGGGGTCACTGAAGGTGGGGCGGGGGGGAGCAACGGGGGAGAGATTGCTCAGTGGTTTGAGCATTGGCCTGCTAAACCCAGGGTTGTGAGTTCAATCCTTGAGGGGGCCGTTTAGGGATCTGGGGCAAAAATTGGGGATTGGTCCTGCTTTGAGCAGGGGGTTGGACTAGATGACCTCCTGAGGTCCCTTCCAACCCTGAGTCTATGATTCTATTCTATGAAGGTGTAAGGAAGGCTTCCATGGTCAAGCCATCTCAGCAGCTTGCATTTTCTCAGGAGTGTAGGATCATCTAAATAAAGATTTCTTGCCTTCTCTACTGTTGTTTCCCAGAAGTGATTGTATGACGACTTGGTGCGCATCCCACTCAACACCTATCGCAACAGGCCAACTTTCTTCATAACGCTTGCCAGTGACACATTTGGCCTTTGAATTTTTGCATTAGCTTCTTCTAGAGAACCCATGGCTTTCTCAAGAACTGTTAGTACGTTGAAAATGATTGAAGGTACATTGAAAAAGATTGAAGTTGCTTTGAGAATACACTACATTTTGAGCCAAATTCACCTGAAGAGTAACTAAATTCATTTGGGCAGTTCATTGTGGCCTCGTAGTTGTGGAGCAGTGATTTAATGCTACTGATCCTTGGTGCCCATCTTGTTGGGCACAATGTTCATAAAGAAGGCTCCCCTTCACTCTGAAACTCTCTGAATGCTGCCATATGCTTTGCTGACTCCCTGAAGGCATTGAGATCTTTCACCATCAAAAACATATCACGACATTCTGGAATATTATGCAGGGCATCCTGCGTGACAAGTTTAAGGGAATGTGCAGCATAGTGCACAAATTCCGCTCTTGGCTCTTGAGCCTTCACTCTGGCTTGGACCCCAGTAAATTTGCAGGACACATTACTGGCTCCGTCGTAACACTGCCCCCAGCAATCAGAAAAGTGCAAATCACACCTGAGAAGTGTATCTCCTACCTGAGAAAAGAGAAGCAGCATCCATTGCGTTAGTTTGGTAAAACCCAATAAACCCCTTATAAATCTCCCTGTCTTCACTAGAAAAGAACCTTAAAGAAAAACTTACTTGTTCTTTTCTTGACAAATCAGTAGTCTCATCCATTACAATGGCGTAAAATTTTGAAGCCTTTATCTTTTGCACAATTTGTCTTAGCGCCATCATTGCCATCATTTCAATTATTTCGTTAATAACCTCATGTGACAGCTACTTGTATTTTGTGCGACTAAGCCACTGTCTCAGTTCCTCTGAATCTGTACTGTGTAGCAACAAGAACTACATCGAATCTGAATCACTCTCATTATGTCCACATAATGTTATTCCTTGCTAAGCTAGGTACTAAACACTGTTAAAAATTCTGTGCAGTGCATTCCTAGCAGATTGTGATTCTTTTCTGTAACTGGCCAACGTTAGTGCACAAACATTTACCTGCGATTGCAGAGCAGCATACTTCATTACCACTTCCTTGTGACAGGAGGATTTTTTGTGTGATGTAAAACCAATGTGTCTCCAATCTTGAAATCCGGACAAAATAAACGTTGGTTCGGCCTTCGTAGAAAATATTAAGATCTTCTTCTCAGAACAGTTTTTGCAGACTGAGCACAAAGCTCTGTCTAATTCATTATTGTACTCCAAGCACGTAAATCTTGATAGCCAAGATTGCTGAAAACTCCTTTTCTTATCTTGTAGATTTACCGCATCTTTCTTTTGTATAACTTCAGTTTGAAAGCTGGGTGTCGAACTCAGGCAGTCACTTGATGAATTATCCTTTTCTTCTTTTTCTCTGGGTAACTTTATTAAGAATTTATCCATTGTTGATTATTACTGGTCCTACAAATCAAGAATTTGTTGCTGGGAAAAAATGAAGCTACAACACGCCGGCATCACAAGATTACAAGGGCCAATTAAAAGTGAAAAGTCAGAAGCAGCACTCGCCTGCTTCAAAACATAATATTTTGTTGTACCCATATACAACCAATTACAGTAACTCTTCACTTAACGATGTCCTGGTTAACGTTGTTTTGTTGTTACATTGCTGATCAGTTAGGGAACATGCTTGTTTAAAGTTGCACAATGCTCCCTTAGAACGTCATTTGGCAGCTGCCTGCTTTGTCCACTGCTTGCAGGATTCTCTGGAAGAGCAGCCCTTCCTCATGGAGATTAGAACCAGGGGGGGCCAGCAGTCTCCCCCATCAGCTCCCCTAAATTCCCTGTAAGGTATGTGGCTTGGCAACTGCCCAGGAGCAGTTCAGGTGGCCCTTCCCCTGCTCCCGCCCGCTGTGCTGCTCCTGCCCTGCCCTCTGCTTTGGAGCTGCTCCCAGGAGCTTCCTACTTGCTGGGGGAGGAGTGGAGAGGGGTGCTGATATCAGGATGTCCCCCTGTTCCTGCCCCCCCCCCCCCGCCACTCCATACCCTCTCTCCACAAAGTGGAGGAGGGGACAGTCACAGGACTCAGGGACAGAAAGGGGGGGGAGCGGGGGAGGGGAAGCTTGCAGGAAGCTGTTGATTCCTGTCTGAACTGGCTGATCTGCTTAAAAGGGCAAAGTACTTGAAGTGTGATCAGTGTACTTAAAGGGGCATGCACCCCCCAGCACTTTGGAAAGTCAGCACCTGTGCAGCCGTGCGTGTGCTGTCAGGAGGAGGGAGTGGTGCGCTCCATCTGGATAGCGTGGGTTCATCATCATGTTCACTTTTCGCAGGGAAGTGTTTGCAGCTACTGCCCTGCATCTATTGTGTTTCCTCCCTCCTGCCTCAGTCCATGCTGCCTTGTAGAGTGTGAGGCTACATTAACAACAGCGTAAACCCTTGAGGGCTCAGCCGAGTGCTAGTTCATCATTTAGCAGCAAGGCATTCCCTGGAAAATATTCCTCCCTTTTATTCCACCATCTCACCCAAGCTTTACAATCATTCATTGCTGTGTATAATATTAAACTGATTGTTTAAAATTGTTTAAAACTTATACTGTATATGTATATAATGTCTTTTGTCTGGCAAAAAAAATTCCCCTGGAACCTAACCCCCCCCCCCCATTTACATTAATTCTTATGGGGAAATTGGATTCGCTTAACATCGTTTCGCATAAAGTCACATTTTTCAGGCACATAACTACAATGTTAAGTGAGGCATTACTGTATACACTTTAAAGGGTGTAAAATAATCAAGTATTGTTCTGAACACGATCATACCCCAAACTGACTGCCGAATATAAATTGTGTGTTTTTTCCCTCAGGTGAGGGCTCTGGGATGGGGCTGGGGATGAGGTGTTCATGGTGCAGGAGGGGGGCTCAGGGCTGGGGTAGAGGGTTAGGGTGCATGGGGTGAGGGCTCTGGCTGGGGACGTGGGCTCTGGGGTGGGGCAGGGCTGGGGATAAGGAGCTTGGGGTGCAGATAGGCTGCCCCGGGGCTATGGCTAGAGAGGAGGACTCCCCACAGCCCTCTCCCCGCTGGCAGCAGTGAGCTCCGGGGAAGGGACCCCCCCCCTTAATCTGCCCCAGCAGCACACTCACCCTCCACCACTATCACTGCACGTGCTCCTAGGGCCCCTCTCAGGTCCAGGAAGCCTCCTCACCCCCCTTTTGGTGGGTGCCGGTGGGGGGCTGCCATCACATGTGGCCTCCTCCCCTTCTACTGCCCCTCACCGTAGCCTCACTGGGGGTGGGAGATGTGGCTGCCCCTTGCCCAGCATGGGGCAGGAGCGGTGGCTGCGGGCAGGGGCAGGGGAGACCTGATCACATGGTTGGACACTCACCCAAGTCCCAGCAGCTGTTCAGGTGAAGTCCAGACTCCATCTCCTGGAAGCCCGCTCTGTGTCACCTCCTGGTGGGTGCCAGGGGAGGAGACGGCTGACAATCATGTGCGTGCCTCCTCCTCTCCTCCCTCCACAGGTGCAGCAGCCGCCTCAGACTGCTGCCAGTGCCACCTTGTGTTGTAGGCAGCAGCGGCCTGTGGCGGCGACAAGGGAGCACAGCGCAGAGTGGCAGGGCAGCTGCCCGCTTGAGGCATGGACACTCTGCAGCCCAGGGGGAGGTGCGCAGGAGAAGCAGGTGGGGCCTGGGGAGAGACCCGGCTCCGAACATTGGTGGAGCCGGGCCCCCAGGCCCTGAATATTCCTGGAGCCCAGGCACCATGGGCCCATACAACTCGTCACCCCTGATTGTGGGTATTTTTATAGTAAACAAAGTGGGCAAGAACACCCTGAACTAATAAACTTGCCTTGCACAATCTACAGAGCAATTGGTCCTTAGGCGATCTGCAAAGTGATTGGTCATAGGAAAGATGTATGTAAACTGTGCAGTGTGTGACGTGAATTGGAATTGTGGTATCACCCTGTACCTAAACCCACTGCATCTGGTCCTAGCCAGCATGGACAAAGAGTTACATGCCTAATAAAGGTTTCAGAGTAACAGCCGTGTTAGTCTGTATTCGCAAAAAGAAAAGGAGGACTTGTGGCACCTTAGAGACTAACATTGTATAGGCTCCTCGGTGCTGGGACACTGTGCTGCTATGTAAATTGGTTAGTCTCTAAGGTGCCACTAGTACTCCTTTTCTTTATGCCTTATGAAGTAACCTGAATGATGAGCTGGAGTTGAACTGAGTGTTTTGGATCCCAGAGAACTGAATTAAGTGTTTTTCCAGAGATGTACAAGGTTTTCTGGGTAAGCTGAGTGGAAAGGTCTTGGAGGGAATCCCAGCAAACTCTGTGTGAACTTTAAATGGGATGTTCATCAGCTAACAGAGTGCTTATGCAGAAACTGCAACTTAAGCAAGCACATCATGCCAATGGAAGCACTGCTAGGGGGATTCAGGGAAAGCGATTTGAGAAAGTAATTTGCTGACCAGTGCTAACCAGCAGTTGTTCAATGTGTGCCCCAAGATGGTTGTACCAACAATTATGGCTTAACTTGTCTTACCAAACTGGTATGACAAGATGTTTTGCACAAAGAGATGGGAATATTCCAGCCCCAGATGCAAGAATTTAAAAGTGATGCCTCATTCTCTGATTGTATGGTTAATTGGACATTTCATAACTTTATCACCAGTCACCATCTGATTGGTGCATGCCAGCATTCCCAAGAAGAGGAACCAAAATTGGACCACCCAGCAGAAATGGGATAGAACAGCCTGTCCTCTTCAGCACATTACTTCCCAAAAGCTGAAGACACCTTTGAAAGGGAGAAGACTGAGGTCCTGGGTTGGCCACCTGGGAGTACTCCTGGTAATATCAAATACCTTATTTCGGATAGGCACCCTTAACTGTCTTTCCCCCCGCCCCCCACCACCCCCAGCAATTCAGGTTGCCCACTTGCACACAAGGAAAAGACCAGAGTTGTGTCTGTCCTCCACTGCTCCTGCATTTGCAATGTACACTCCTGCTGTTTGAGGGTTTAAAACTGATGATAATTGAATTTCATGAGACACCAGGTAGCCCAAGCTCAATCAGGTTTATTGTTAAGATACAGTTATCAGTAAAACAGAAAGCCATATCTGTTATCAATCCAGGGAAACCCTTTGCAGTGTAGCCAGACCTATAGATTATGTATTAATTACACTGATTACTCAAGAATTCCCAGATGTCACTGTGAAGATTGACAGGTTCTTGTCCCAAGATCAGGCCCAGTATTATTCAAATTATTATATAGTTTGGAATCCTGACGTGCACAGCTGCAACACTGCCACTGTAGGAACTCTTCTATATTTACAAATAGTTTATTAATACATTTAGCACAGTTGAAACACTCTAACTCAGTAAGGTAGGTAGAGATATTACAGAATGTACACCTGCACATCCATATACTCACACCATCCCTTGCAGAACAACTTGAAATGTTAGCTATCATCGTCTTCATTACCATCACCTTCACCCGCATCACCAGTGGCCATCATTCTTGCACTTCCCAAGGGCTGCATCTCTCTCTCCTTCAGTTCCTAGATTGGGATGCCACTTTTATAATCTGTTATGCTGACGCCACTATGTTTGATGCAGTAGGGGTTTTTCCCCTTTTCCTTATTTGTATGTCCTCTCCTCACTAATGTTGAAGTGTCCTTCTATAAGTTAGTAGATCAACGTTATCAACTTATTATCATATACATCAATTCGTTGCCATGGCCTTCTTGTGGTTAGGTATCCGAGGATGTAGGTCATATTCCTTTTATTGTTATGTACATCAATTAGTTGCCATGACATTTTTGTGGTTGCACTCAAGTTCCTGTGGTCGGAAATTCCCCTTAAACACTATATTTTCAGATCCTCAATACTTGGGGTTTTCTGTTGAGCCATTTATCGGTGCCACATAGGCCTCAAGCCTTATGCTAAAACTGATGAAGCCAATGTCTTACAGAGTACAGGCCGGTAGGTTCCTTGCATTACGTCTGAATATAATGAAGATAAGCTAGCCCTATGGGCTACACCAACTCACATATTTCAAGATGTTTCAACTTGGTTACATTTTTGTGGGGTTTTATACCCTACCTAGAGGTATACAGTCACCGAGTTTTGGGTTAGAAGGGACTACCAGATCATCTAATCTGAACTCCTGTATATCACAGGCCACCAGTATCACCCAGTTTATGCACACTAAACGCAACAACCAAAACTGGACTGAAGTATTACAACCGTTACAGAAGACTGAACTATTATTTGCTGCAGGACTGAGACGCACCAATGCCGGAGCCCCTGCAAAGTCAGGGAATTCTATACCCAGATTATCCTGGCAAGTGACCCACATTCCATGCTGCAGAGGGAGGTGAAAAACCATGAAGGTCTCTACCCACCTGACCCAGGGAAAACTTCCTTCATGACCCCCGCATATGGTGATCAATTAGACCCTGAGCATATGAACAAGGACCATCCAGCTAAGCATATGACAGAGAGAATTCCCAGTACTACCTTGTAGCTTCGGCCCACACCATCCAGTGTCCCATCTCCAGCTCTGGCTATCCCTGATGTGTCAGAGGAAAGAGACAAAAACAAAAAAACAACAACCCAGAATACAGAGAAGGGGCAAAACCTTTCCTGACGCTTGTGGGGGGCTGGCTGAAGACCTGAAGGATGAGTTTTACAAACATAAGGAAGAAGAAGCCCTCAGGCTGCCAAGCCCTGTCTTCACCATCAGAAGCAAACCCGTCATACAACCCCACTCATAAATTTGTCCAGCTCTCCCTCAAAACTAATTAAGTTGTCGACTCTCAGTTCCTATTGGGAGGCTGTTCCAGAACCTCACTTCTCTGGTTGTTAGAAACCTTCTTCTAATTTCCAGCCTGAATTTGTTCCTGGCCAGTTTGTACCCACTTGTTCTAGTCTTTTATCTTAAATAGGTCTTCACCCTCCCTGGTATTG